AACGCCAAAAGCAGATTTTCGGAATATCACAAAAAACGGTTTCAACGATGAGAAGCATCTGCTAAATACGCGGAAGCCTTTTAATTGTTATGGCACGTTTGTGCGTTCTTGAACTCCGTTTTTAATTGCCACTTTGAATTTGATCCGGGTCGACACCGGCCAGCGGTCGCGGGTTCGTTGACCTGTCCAGAATTATTTACCTTTTGTTGCCGCCATATGGGTTGCATAAGTGGAGCATGCCACTTCCCAGAACAAATAGTGAAATGCAAAGCAGAAGACATACATACCCAAATCTTAGATGTCGAATTTCAATGAAAAACAACGAAAACAAGATTAAGAACATGTTTTACAGAAAAATAAGATTTTTTTTTTGTTTATTTAATAATCTTAATAATTTAAAAATTTTGTAGTTAGGTTATTATGACTTAAATACTGTCTGCACTGTCTGTACTTTACGCGAGTAAAAAAACATTTTAATAAAACACAACGGTTTAAAACGCGATATATTTTAGCTGAAACTTGTTCGAAAATATGTTTAACTATGTCTACTATTATGACTTTTTAAATATCAAAAGTTTTGAAGCCCTTTAGGATCCACGACGCTGCCTCAGTGCAGATAGGTGGGTATTAACGACTTCCGCCGTTAAATCAGTGCCGATTACCGGAACTGACATTGATTGCTCGTATTTAACTAACGACTGGCTCAATATCCCAAATACCGAAGCAGTATTTCGCCCGACCAGACACTAACCACTAAACCAATGAGTTAAAATTAATAATCGATTCATATTAGCTCATTGTTCATCAGTGCGAAACCCCATTGGGCATGGTGCCTGACTGAAACTGCTTTTAATGTGTAGTTTCCCAGATTTGAACCCGAAGCTCCATTTATGGCATTGGATACTCTTAATGTTTTCTACTCCATTACTTTCCATATTATCTGAGCATCAAAAACCAGCTTACAATATATTTTAGATACCTTTAGTAATTTGTCCGTCGTAACTATATTTTTAAAAACCGCATAAGACACTAGCTTGACGTACGCTAAAATCCTTTTTATCCAGTTAACATTTGTTAAAAAAGAATTACGATCTCTTTCTTGTTTGCAGCCAAGGATTAACAACCAATCTGTAATCCAAGATTGCTTACCGTGTCTGACTCACGAGCTATTCCTGTTGCAAGTTGTTACACCAAACTGCAGATGCATCCGTTTGGTATGAGAGGTCAATGCTTAATTCTGACGAAATGTCGAGTGCGTTGAAATCCTTTTTATCCAGTTAACATTAGGGCCCGAACATGGGGCATGGAGCAAATCGTATCTGGGTTCATTGCGCAATACCATTTTAAAGCTTTTGTTTGGACCAAAACATAATTTTTATGACGGAAGACACAAGTGTAAGAGTCACTTGAGGGAAGGTGAACTACATCTAAATACTGTCTATAGTTTACGCGAGTAGTACACATTTAAATAAAACACTTTAACGGTTTAAAACGCGATATATTAGTTAAACTTATTAGAAAATGATTTTTAACTTCGGCCCGACGTTTCGGATGCTTTGCAGCAGCCGTGGTCACGGGGAGACTAAAGATGGAGGATGTCTCTGACGTCAAAGTAAAAAATTGCTACGCTAACGCTATCTGTTCCGTCGAACTTGGTATTTGGCGAAACTGGCCGGGTCCTTACAGAATTGACTAACGGTGTATCGTCCCTTATAATGAATTTTCTTTAAATATAACCCACACACTTACAGTTAAATTTTCTGTAAACATATTAATAACTGTACCATTTTTATTCCTGCCACGACAAACAACATGCAAATATTTATTTTATGTCAGAGTCGACGATGCTTACTTGTCCTTGACCGTCCGATTTCAGTACAATTTGTTGCCAACCAACATTATATATATACACACCTATTATCATTAGTATTTTTTAAATTCAAGCCAAATTTTTATCAGATTTCAATTGCCATTTGATTACTAAAAATAATTTAGCTAACTTTTTTGAAAATTTCTTTTAACTACGGCTCGACGTTTCAGTTGCCTTACAGTAGCCGGGGCCACTGATAATTTCGCGTTTTAAACCGTTAAAACCAAAGATTGTATATATTTTTAAATTAACTACATTTACGAACGTAACAGGAATGAGTCCCAGGAAAAAAGACGTTTATTCTAATGAAAGGCCCGGGGTAGACAAATTTCTTGCACTTTTAAATAAAATTTTCTTAGCCGTAATTTCCTGTGTCTCCAGAACTTGTATCCAAGACTTCTCGCTTAACCTTCTAAAATCTAGACAATGCTTCCACTAAACATTGTTTACGATTAGAACGATAAAACAGCTGATATTTTATTGTAACTGTGTCCTACTGCCATTTGTTTAATGATTCATTATTACTAATATCAATCACGACGAAGGTTCAACTAATTAAAATAAATTGTCATTCTTAATCATGTCTAAGATTGAAAAATACAAGATATCTATTATATCTTTGACAAAAGAAAAAAGATATTATATCCTTTAACTTAATTCCAATATTTTGTTTACACTCGATTTGTTACTTTTAATAGTACAATTTTTATATCTAAAACTGATAATTCATCAAAAATGAATGTCATTACAATATTTACTTATCATGGCTTTGGTAAAATTATGGGAATTTTGTATCTACGTAGAAGAAGACCTACAATAATAATAATTATTAAACACACTTACTAATAAGTGTTTTTTTTTTATATATAAAATTATTTTTATTATCTTTGATAGTAGTTCTAAGCTAAACTATGTATACTTACTAGAAGTAAACCACATACATTAAATCGACTCGAAGAATATATTATTATTGACCGTTTTGCCGCCCTAATTCGGTCGCTCTCTGAATTTACAATACTCCTCGAAACCGTTTTTGTGCTAAATATTCAAGCGGTGCCCATTTGGATTTTCTTTTATGCAGGAGCCAATAGTTCTGTTAGTTTGTGTCATATGTAACCACGCCCAGATAACTCTAATATACTGTTTCCAAATGTTTCTTAAAAGATTTGACTATAATTGTGCATGAGTCAAAATACAAATTTATTCAATAAGTCTAAGTAAGTATAAAGAAATACTGGCATAAAACTAGACAAATAGACTACAATTATTAGAATAAAAGACGAAGTTTCTGCTCGATTGGATACATTAAAATCAACGCCGATGAACTTGATGTACTTTTTTATAAGTACATACTTTAAAATGTTTCTTATAAAAACGTTTTTTTTTAACGTTGAAAAATAAAACAGCTCAATAATCGCGATAAAAACAATGTTTCATAAATAGCATGAAAAGTATGATGCAACTGCATTTGCAACTTATAATAAAGCAGAGTGTACATGCGGTCTTTTGTTTCTCAGTTGTGTTACAATATTATTATATGCTAAATGCTACGGTTTCAAATTAAAGTCTATCCTGAGGAATTTCCAAATTTCGCCTGACGTACGACCTACCACGTCTGTCTAAAGTCCCATCCCACTACAAAACACCTGAAAGTCCTACCTAAATAAATATCAAAATAATTTATTCACGTAGGGACTTATGAACCTCATCGCAGTTAAAAACTAAAGACTCTAAAGTTTCATTACTTACCAGTTCTGAATCAATTGTTATTATAAAATATTTCTAACCACCTTGTGAGCGCTCCTATTGATTGAATTTAGTTAGTTTTTTTGGAAAACAAAGTTACTTCTGGCTGACGAGGTCGTTGGTGAAACAACGTCGTGGTGTCATGAGTTTGATCCCCGCCGGGCCGGGTTTTCGTGTTTCTATGTTGGCTGTCGTTCTTAATTAAAAAAATCTCTATATAATGAAGCCAGTTGTTGATGTTCCAGCACCTCATATCCTTCTTCCAAATGAAATGAAATATTACAACGCGAAACATGTGAAACTGTGACAAAAATCGTGTATCTTGAATAAGATCTTCGAGGTTCTTTGAGTCCCTGATGAAAAATAGTGTAGTGTGTACACCCCTTAGTTTTTACAGTCAAACATCATCCTGAATGCATTCGGGTCGAAGCAACTCGAACGAACCGAACTCGAAAACGTTTCAGGGACTCACAGAATTAGAATAATCGAACGTCGACATGTTTGCCTGAAACGGCCCATTTGAAATTCTATAAACCGTTATTCGCATTGGAAAATATGCCGACATAACCAACGGCCCATACCCCGCTTACATCGCTTACATAATTGCATTCGATACATTTTAATCAGTCTAGAAACTTCTAACTGACGTTTCAATTTCTATGTAGCCTAAACTTTTTTCAGCAAAAAAGGATAAAAAATTCAATGTCATTTCAAATAATCGTATACTTCAATATAACCTTTTGGGGAAATAAAATAAATAATTTGGGAAATCAATGAAATAAATAAATTGAACAATTATTATCAAATCAAATTAAATACTAAAAGAAAAACTAAAGTTTTGCTTGTTTACATCCACGTGCACAAATCTGTACCAAAATCATCGGTTAATACATTACTCTAAATTACACTCTGAATAACTAAATTACCCATAATAGCCCACCTGAAGAGAAGGTCTTAAATTACGTCTGAAATTATATCCTTGAAAAGTATATTTATGATTAGTTTGTGATACATTTCACCTTTTATTCGGTTTCAACTCGTGTACGCCTACGACATATTTATTACTTAATAGTTCAGGAAAATTCTATGGATATATTGTTCTAAGAGTCACGAGAGACCCGTGCTAGATTCAGGGAAACTGTCCCATGTAAGGTTTGGGTTTTTCCTACTTCTCTACCGGTTTTTTTATACAATGTATCAATTTTAAAAAAAGAACTTAAACAAATATTAGTATGTAAGTTGTAATTTAACCAACAAATTACTTAAATAACATTCTTATGCCTAAGTACTCCTTTATTCGGTATTAAAATGTTACTAATCCTTCATTGCAGTACTATATTTTAACTAGTTCTTCTTAATCGTATTTTATGTCATCTCCTTGTGATCACCTGGATTCTGAAGCGTAGTATCCTGGCGGTAAACTGTAAAAACCACGAAACTTTGGTATAAATATATAATTACTAAAACGTCCCCTTTCTATCGGAATGTCTGAAATATACTGATTATCGGATATAGAATTTTCTTTTACTTCATTTTCGTATTCTACATTTATATCTTCATTCTGAGTTTTTCTCTCGGCATAGTCATTATTAGACGTATTTTCTGATAAGACTACATCGTCATTTTCTAACTTTCTATATGCACCAGAAATAGTTTGACTTATTTCGTCATCATTAGAATTTAAATCATCTTCATTCTCGCTTTCAGTTTCATCGTCGGAATCGGCATTAACGTTATTTTCATTTTCTACTATTTCTTTATAAGCTGTGTACTTGAACGTATTTGTATTCATCTGTTGTATATCGTTACTCTTATCACCACCGGGATTTTCTTGCGAGTCGTCTACGTCTTCTGAACTATCATTTACATCTTCATTCACTTTATATATATTGTCCTCTAGTTTTGTACCAGCTCGGGTAAATTCTTCTTCTAGGCTTTGTATCGTAACTGTAGCGTCATACTGCATACCAGGAGCACCCGTGAATACTATTACGACATACCTAAATCCAGGACCACCTTCTACAATGTTCGCTTTAAGCTCTGTTCCGAAATCTATTCCAGTAACTCTAACGTGCCCAATTATATTGCCCTCACTTGTGGCTGGGTATTTTAAAGCTAATGAACCTCCCGGTACTGATACCTTGATTTGTGACGTGTTGAATTTTTTAAGTTCTTCATTACCAACATCTAGAAGAAACACGAATGGATATTTATGAAACGCACTGGCTATAGTTAGACTAAATAGACAGATAATGGTGAATCCAAGTAACATTGCGTTGGTTCGCGAAGCACAGTAGATCGTGAAGCTATAATCAGATCTTATATAACGAATTACTTCATGGTTCGAGCACTCAGTTTTTGTTTACCCTTGATCAATCAAACCGATTTTTCAGATTTATCGAGAAGATGCAGCTTCCTCAATTTTTGTGAAGGCATGCACTGCAAGGCCAGGGATTCGCATTGACTGTCACTACGCGAGGATAGAAAATAAATAACATTTCTGTTCAAAGAGATGATTAATCTTTTTATAAACCTCTTTGCAAGCGTAATTATAGATGTCTTTAAGCGTTAAAAAGACATCTATAATTACACTTCTCCTAATGCTCCTAATGTTTTACAGAATTTTAATAATATAAAGCACAAAATATGATTCTGTGGAATGTTTTTGTGTACATACTACCAATGGACATACTTATTTCAATTTTGTTTAACTGAGAAACTTGTTTCAAACTTCATTGCTTTTTCATTAAAATACAAAGATTATGCTTAATTTTTATTTGAATTATAAATAATAGCATATATTGATTTATGTAACAACCCGATGAAATATCACAATCACTTAAACTAGCAAAGCTACAATTAAACTTAACAAGACGGTACCAATTTATAAAACACGATACTATCGTTTAATTTTCGTGACGTCACCAATGAAACACTGGAAATTAAGAATTATAAATCGTGGATTCACGTGACGTCGCGTCAATCACGTCACCAAAATGGCTGTCGCTAACAACTTGTAAGGTGAACACTTAAAATATTGAAAACAAAAATATTTACACACGTAACAGTGAGATTGCTATATTAAATCACAGACACAAATGATTTGTTAGTTTAACAAAAAATAATATTCTACATATTTTTGTTTTTTTTTAAAGACATGGTAAATACAATTTTTTTTATATTTACTAAACAATCACAGATTCATTTTTATCTAAAGGAAGTATTATAAAACTCTATTTGGAATATCACGGCGAGCGCTAGTGCGGTCGCCCAAACGCCCGGTTAGTATTCGAGGTCCCATCGGAACTCAATACGTAATAGTCATTAAAAAAAATCTATTAGTAATAATAATAAAGGAGAAATTGCAAAAATAATGTCATACTCTTGCTAATATCTAAATTAAATGCTAATGAAGACGTCATCACATATTATATATACTCATGTACTTTTGTATTATTTAGCATAATTGATAAATAATATACAATTTAAAAAAAGATCTATGCAGGAGTTACATTTAAGGACATAGTCATTAATAGTTTAAACGCCTGATACTTATCCCTTAGCAAATACTTGTCAGTGATTTTTATACTTTACAAATCTGTAAAGGGGCTATCGATTCAATTTGATATAGCATTTATTTATATCAATTACACCAACCAAGTCTGATTATTATATACAAATATTCTATCAATTGCTTTATAAGCTTCAATTAAGAAATAACATTTAATTTAGAATACATTAATTGATAACGTATTTAAAAGCTCCTACATATAAAGATCAAAAAGTTTAGCTAGCTTTTTATCACAAGTATAAATTAAGCTTTTAGCTATATTAATAACACGAAAATCTTAATAACAAACTTGTTAATTTTTAATTTAACAGCGATATAGAGCTCTACTGAAGCAAACCACCAAAAGAAAAGCTATTTTCAGCTTTTTGCATTTGTTCTAAATCTTTTAAAGCAGTATTAATGTCTCCCGGTTGTTGTCTCTTTTCCGCGCGATTCGTCATTTCATTGTCTCTGGGTCCTAAATCAGTGTTGGCAGATGAAAATTCGGAATTTGCCGATGGGATGGAGTCTTTATCATAATTCGTCTGTCCAATATAACTTGGTTCACTAGAATACGATAGATCTTTGGCTGCTAGTTTAACCCGAAAAAAATTCGTTACTGTTCCACACACGCCCTGGAATGTAGGAAGGAGAAGGTATATATATGCAAATCAAATATTTTTTTGTCACTATGTGTTATTTAGTTGGAAATATAACTAGTGCGAACACAACCATACCTTGAGACGATTTATTTTACTATGCGTCGATGTCAACAATGCACCAATGTCACCCAGAGCACCAATATTTTCCTGCTGTCCGTCATTTAAAATAGCAGTTTCCTGTAATTATTGAATGGAAATAACAAGTCCAGAGATAATAGAAAATAATACACTTAGGTGAGTATTTGACAGCTTTGTATACAAAAAAAAAAATAGAAACGTTACCTCAGATGTCTTAATATCGACCTCTTCAAATTCGTTTACATCCAAATATTTATGTTTCTCTAGAAATTCTTCTCTCTCTGGCTTAGGTTGATTAAATAATTCCGCACGCATGCATGCATCTTCGTAGGCTTTTAACGACATATTTGTATTGGCTATGTCTCTGTTCTCTACATGCACTGGTATATTCTAAAAATATTTTATATTTAAAGCTTGAAAAGCATTTTCTAAGCTACAGCTACAGTAGCGCTAATACATTTTAGTGTTAGTGACGACGTAGCCTACGCGCAAACTCCTTATTGATCTTTCGTTTAAAAATGTTCCATTCTTGCATAAGTCAAAAACTAATTTGCCACTTAACAATGGAATATATTTTTCAATTCGATCATGACATTGAAAAGCTTTTCTATAGCTTTATAAACCTGATTTTGATTTTAGAAGAGGTTGTGCCTAGCCCAGAATTGAAAAAAGACGATTAGTTTACTTTAAACTACTTCTAAACGGAAAGATTGAAAATATATTTTATAAATATATTCAACACATGAATGTATATATTATAAATTATGTTTATTTCTTAATAAATATTAAGTTCCTGTGAGAGTATGTTGGCAACTTTAGAATGAACTGTCAATTTTATACACCCATTTACAGTTCAACAACCGTCCTTGAAAGGTTTGTCTTTCAGTTATTTGAAGTGTTGAAGACAAATACCGTTTCATATCGAATTCCAGTTAGTTTTTTAACCCATGCATAGTTTGTACACTATCGCTATCTCTTTTGTAAAACCAAACGGTGAATTAGATAATCATTCATTGTTCCACAATCATAAAGTAAATATTTGAATGTCAAGATATTACGTTATTTGACTTGTTTTCTAATAAATGATTATTATCACTTCTGTCTCGTTTAAAAGTGTATTTCGGTTTTACAGTGCTTCGTGCAGGTACAATTTGCGGAAAATGGCTTCAAGTAAGACCTTTTTTTAATGTTATTTCAATATCATAATACTGGCCGGTTATGACTTGCGCTTTTGTGTATGATTATATAAACAACTTGAATACAGTCTCTTGTCCGTGAATTTTTTAGCCTAGCTAAAAGTAAATGAAGACATTATTTAAATATAAAGTTTGTTATAAAAACATTATCAGACTGAAACAAACAATAAACAGAAGTGAGTTCTGAAAACTTTTTTCTTTTGAATAAAGTAGCAAACTGGAGAATTTTAATAATGGAGATATTGCTAAAGGTCCAATGGAGGGTTTGTATTTATAATTTTACTTGTAAATAGTAAGCCATCATCACAATTGTCTTCATTTTATTGAATTAACAAAGCTATCCCTATATGTACTTGAAATACTTGTGCAATATTTGGAAATGGGTTAAAACAAAATACACAGAAAATAAATTTATATATAAGCGATAAAATATGTTAAATAGTTAAAGTTAATAAACTATGTTAAACATGTTTATTGAATACTTCATGGTACCTAATTGATTATGTATTTCAGAACCACTGACATTAGAAAACATTAGCAAACTTAGAGAGGATTTCTACAAGTGTCCCAAAAATGAGCTTGCACAGAATGTTTGTACTCGGTTTGATCCCTTCGAAGTTGCAATTAGTAGAAAGAAAACAGATACATCCCTACATGTTTACAATATTAAGGTAACACCCTACTTTTAGAACAAAAGCATTTTAATTATTGATACTAGTTCTCTATAATTTTGTTTCCTTTCCTCGGGGCTTTATTCTCTTGGATTCATGTCTATGTTTAAATTATTTATTTTTATCATATTGTGTGTAACTCTACCCCAGAAATGTTTTGTGCATTACAGCATATTGTATACTGATCTAATACTGAAGGACAATTCATTCTTTACTTTATACCTACCAACCCACAAAATTTCGTTTTTAATTTTAAAAAAATGATTTTTTTGTTGTATTTTACCTTACACCTATTAAAGCCATTGTGATATACCTTTACAGGTTGAAAGTGAAGGAAAACCTGTGACAAACCAAGAAAACTCAGGCCGATGCTGGCTTTTTGCAGCACTTAATGTAATGAGACTGCCTTTTATGAAGAAATATGGTCTTGATGAGTTTGAGTTCTCCCAGAGGTAGGTTACATTGCCTTTAATGACTAAGATATGCAACTATTAATTTTTTGAATGTTGAAAAATTCATACACAGACCAATTCTTACCTCAATCTTATGTAAATAAATATTTATCTAAACCAATTTACTTTGCTAGTAATTATGGAGCTCAATATTTTTTAACACCAGCATATTTTATCAAAATCACTTCAGCAGCAAAAGAGTATAACTCATCCAACCAAAACTCTATATTGGAGATTATAGTAGATAATTATGTAATTGAAATGCTGTTCCTTGGATTTCTAGCTACCTATTTTTCTGGGACAAGATAGAGCGCTCCTACTACTGGTTAAACAACATCGTCAATACAGCAAAGCAGGGTGAAACATTAGATGGAAGATTAGTAAACTTCTTACTGAAGGTAAAACAAATAATATGGTTATATTTTTAATACTACAAAAATTACAGGCAGAGGAGATATTTTTTTTTTCTTTTGAGGAAACCAACTGTAGGCTGTGTGCATATAAAATGCTCTGCTAACATCATTTTACTCAAACAATTTAAAGTGGATTTAGTACTGAAAGAAGATTTGAATACCTCTACTAATTATCTATAATTGTACCAGGATCCCATAAACGACGGCGGTCAGTGGGACATGATAGTGAACTTGGTGAATAAATATGGGGTGATGCCAAAGAAGTGCTTCCCCGAGTCATTTAGTTCCAGGAAAAGTATGCATATGAATGCACTGATTAAGACAAAGGTTAGAAATTCATTTAACTCCATTTTAAAATTAGTAAACTTGATATAAAAAAGACTTTTAAATAAAATACTTTAACGGTTTAAAACGCGATATATTAGTTAAACTTATTTGAAAATAATTTTTTAACGGCCAGTTTCGCCAAATACCAACTTCGACGGAACAGATGGCCCTAGCGTAGCAATTTTTTACTTTGACGTCAGAGACATCCTCCGTCTTTAGTCTCCCCATGACCACGGCTGCTGCAAAGCATCCGAAACGTCGGGCCGAAGTTAAAAATCATGTTTTAATAAGTTTAACTAATATGTCGCGTTTTAAACCGTTAAAGTGTTTTATTTGACTGTGTACTACTCGCGTAAACTATAGACAGTATTTAAAAAAAACTTTCCTCACATTTCACAATGCAAAATAAACAAAACCAAAGCCTAATGATAAATTTTATCTTTAATCTTAAATTAAGTAATTCATTAATCATAATAAACAATGAGTCTACTAGAGCTTAATAATAAATTTTATTTTACACAATTTATATTGTGACTGTTCCTGCCTTGGTCATTCGGGGCAGAGACACCGAATATGCCCCATGCCCCACTTTAACGTTATTCCTTTTTCGATATCCAGTTACGAGAATTCGCCAAAGAGTTGCGCGAGAAAGTGGCAAACAAAGTCTCTGATGTGGAGATACAAGCCACCGTGGACAAGCAGATTGCTATCATTTACCAAATTGTAGGCACTTGCTTAGGTAAGTTATATATTTTATTAGTTCCTGCAAGTATCAAGTCTGGTGCAATAGACGTTATAAATAATTTGAAGAAATTTAAACATAATCTATAATCCTTTTAAAACAACAAATGCGTCTGAATTATTGAAATAGTTTTATGAGATATGCCTGTAGTTTACGCGAGTTACACTTAAATAACACATTTTAACGGTTTAAAACGCGATATATATTAGTTAAACCTATTTGGAAATTGTCTCCCCGTGACCACGGCTGCTGCAACGCATCCCAAACGTCGGGCCGAAGTTAAAAATAATTCATCAAATCAGTTTAACTAATATATATCGCGTTTTAAACCGTTAAGTGTTTAAGTTAATAAAATCAAATCAATCAAAATTTTGATTTTAATTAAATAATTTTTTGATGCAGTCACTATGTGGTCTTTTTTATTATTCTAACAAATATTTCCTTTTCTCTACCAGGAACACCACAAGAGAAGTTTACCTTTGAATTCTACAACAAGGAGAAGTCTTACAACAGCCTAGGACCGCTCACTCCGCAAGAGTTTTACAACCAACATGTAAGGCCGCTCTACAATGTCGACGACAAAGTAAGCTTTTTGTTTTCTCATATTTCTTTAACCTAAGACTACCTTTTATGCTATCTGTACTTGGTATAACACTGCTTATTAATTTTGTAATATTTATGAACCACTCAATGTATGTCTAAAATCGCTTGTTTGTATATTTTCAAGGTATGTCTGGTAAGCGACCCGAGGGAATCGAACCCATTCGGACGTCTCTACACGCTACAGTGCCTGGGCAATGTGGTCGGCGGTAGGCAGACGGCCTATAATAACCAGCCTATCGAAACACTTATGAAGTAAGTGCCTATACTTATATACATATTTCTTATTTTTCAAAGCAATTTCCCTAAATCGCGTGCGTTGCGTGCTTTTTCTAAACTTTGGACAAAGCACGCAACACGCAACAACTTAAGGTAATAAGTTTCATAAATATAATTATAACGGTATTTTAATTATATGTTTTATCTTAGGGTGGTAAAAGACAGCATATCTGGCGGTGAGGCCGTGTGGTTCGGATGTGAAGTGTCCAAGCGATTCGAGAGGAAACATGGTCTTGAAGATCTAGATGCGTACGTTTATGCTCCTTTACCAAAATGCGATTCAATTAATCAAATTCTTTTAACAGTTGAAAACGCAAAATATATTCGTTATTTTAAATTTAATTTGATTATGGCCCAACTTTTCGATTGCTCTACAACAACCGAAGTCACGGGGGAATTAAGATGGAACTTAACCCTAATGTCTAAGTTAAGACTTCTACGCTAGCGCCATCTGTTTCAGCGTAGTTCTCCGATTACCAACTGAGTACTTCTTTTTTTTTACTTTACAACAGACAAGACTACAAGTTGGTGTTCAACACGGAGATCCAAATCGGGCTGAATAAAGCGGACAGGCTGTTGTACGGCGACTCTTGCATGACGCACGCCATGGTATTCACGGCTGTTGGCACCGACGTGAGTACGGACTACGGAAGTTGACGCAACCCGCATTTTTCTTGACGTATAAGTCGTGTTGTAAGTTGGTCTTTCGACACTGGAGACTGTTTGGCGCATTCCGTGTCGGTCTAATAGCCTTACAAATGTATATTGGAACTGTTTGTTTTGGATACTTTAATATTATTCACATGTTATTGCAATAATAAATTGAAATCGATTTAAGATTTAAAAAAATTTACAACACGGGCAGGACTTGAATCGATGTTCACAGCGTTCCGTGCTGTTGCTCTAACCAATTGAGCTACCGTGTCAACTGAGCTACGGTACGCTGTGGATGCCGGTCAAATCCTGTCATTGTTGCTAAAAATGTTTCAATCTAAAATTGAGTTTTAATTTGAACAGATTTTTTTTTATAGCAATCATATTTTTTTCTAACAGGAGGAGGGCAACCCTCGCAAGTTTCGCGTAGAAAACTCCTACAGCGACAAGGAATATGACAAGGGTTATTTATTGCTCACCGAGCCTTGGTTTCGGGAGTTCGTTTTTGAGGTATGTCTGTAGATTCTGCAAATCTATGCTATCATACTATAAACTTATTCGACGCCAGATTTGTGACTTCAAATCTTTTTTTTAAATAATTTTAGCCACATAATCATTCGATTTACACTGCCATTCTTCACAGGTGGTTGTAGACCGAAAGTATGTACCGAACGAGGTGCTAGAAGTGTTCAAACAAGAGGCCGCCGTGTTGCCCGCGTGGGACCCAATGGGTACGCTCGCTTGTCCTCTATGCTCGCAGGAATAATGTTGCCCTATTTAATAACTGTATGTTTGTACAATATTAAGGATATCTCATGTATTATTTTTGTTATTTGGTGCCTTGACCTTATATACTATCTTAGTAATAGCAAAAGTCTGGACCATTGGACCTGGAAGTCTACCACTATTCAGACATAATTAAATGACGTGCACTTTACAGTACTTTATGTATACTCGGCCTGACAGTTTTTTCTAAAATACTTAATAACTTTGATGACAAGTTTTTGCTTTGAAGTGCTACTAAACTACTTACCATGTTTAGTATGAGTTTATATGAACTATTTTTCAAGATGTAGCATATAATCAGTAACCAGTATGAAAACCAATACATTGCAAACAAAAATTTAAAATTTTCACGAGTTTTCCTGTCACTGCCACTTTTTATTGTGAAAACTTCAGCATTAAAATAAAAAACATTTTTTACTATATATTATTATGTACTATGTAAGAATTTTGAATCTGTGCTTTTATTTTTATTAAATAAAACTTGTTTTATTTAGCAATAAACAAATTCTAAATAAAATAAAAAAGACTTGAGACTTGTTTATTTTGAACAAAGTATAAGGACTTAAGGCTAACGTTTATATATAAATGATGTACCAAACCGCCATTGATAGTAGATGATTGATAATAGATGAAACGTAATACGTATGTACATTAGTGCAGCGGCCGGCCAGAAAGGCATTGATGGACGACCGAGTGAACCTCGGCCTCGAACACATAAGTTAGTATCCTTGCTCTTTTTCTCAAATTATTCGCGGAAATTTAAAGTAAGCAGTACAGTATTTGTTTGTCACACTGTCTGTGTGCAAGGCAGTTCTAAAGTTCATACTGAACCTTTGATAGTTTACCCTTTTCAGTTGCGGATAGAAGATAGTAACATTTTTAACAACACGAAAACATATATGATTTTACATAGTAACTTACATGGCCGCAAAACACGACGGATATGAATTCTCATACTACTATTTCCGGCCGCTGCTCGATCAGTACAGCAGGTTCGATTTATCTCGTGCATATTTGAGAAAAGGAAATTATCAAACAATCTTCTGAACTTCTATGCCACAGTTTTCCATTTAATGTCGGTCGTTTTAAAATACATTAATTCATTGTTAGTTATACCTCTATATATTTAAAGTACAATTCACGAAATATTAAAAACTCATTTAAAATTAGTGTTTATGTGTAAAGGCATAATTGTTATGATAGGGAAGCGAAACAAAAAAAGGATAATATATATTTTATGTATTAGTTATTAGTATAACCAAAATTAACTAGGGTTTTGTTATCCGTAGTCGCTTCGTTAGTTAAGTACTACGTTAAATAAAATCATTGATAAAGACATACATTTTAATAGCAAGTATAAACATGAAATATAGATGTTAGATGCAGTATCGCTAAACGTTAATGACCGCATTCTGATCCAAGAAAATTTATTTCCACCTATTGATGTAAAGTTTTACGGTTACCTACCGGTCTATTTTCTCAAAGATTCCACTGCAAGTTAAGTTAAATTAAGCTTAACGACTACCGCCACTGATTTAGTGATGATAATCGGAACCGACGGCTTAATTTACCGATGTACCGGTTCAGCCAACTCGAGTTTCAAATCCTGGTGAGCGCACAAACTGACGAAGTTCTTACAAATACGAAACGTATATCTTTTTTTATTTTTCTCCTAGCGAGTATGACTAAAAACATATAAAGAGTTTAATGCAAACATAATTTTCTCAAAGCAGATCCGGTGATATGAATCGAAATCCATCTTTTGATGGATCTTGACAATATGCTACCTGCGGTAGTTGTGATAGTTTAAGCACAAATAAAATTCCAAGATACATTATAGTTCTCAATACGTAGTTACGATATTCAAATACATTTATACGTAAATTGTTACATTTATCGTGACTATTCTAGTTTTTTATGTCAATTTGGAAAACACTTCTGGGTCGTAAATTATCCTTCACAGTAACAGAAAAAAGCGTACGATGAAAGGGGGGGTATATGGTGTGACCTTTTAGATGTTGCTTAACGTTTTGTGACTTGTTGCCATTTGTCGTCGTCGCGAGCTGAAACGAAGCGGTTTTATTCGATTTATTTGAAGATATGGTCGGATGTACATTCTCAGTTCCGGAACTCTATTGTGAGCCAGTCGAAAATAACAATTAATTATACAATTAATGTTCTTGTCAAACTGTTTACAATCTCAATAGAAGACTGCTAACGTTTAACTAGAAATAATTTACCTCCGAGGCCTAACACCGTGCATTTGCGTTAGAAATGCAGGTGTGATTTATTTCGGAGGTATGTTTATATTTTACCACATGACCACGAAAGCTGTCGAAAAGAATTTGTATTACAAATATGAAACAACAGTTATTTTCGTTATCGCAAAAAAAAAATGTGTATAATAATGCAATACAGATATAATGCTTAGCCCAAGTGTTCTCGTAACTTACGTTTCTCGTCCCTACGTGGCGGTGGGCGGCTGTCGCGATCATCACGACGTGGCCCGTCCCTTTCACGGTCATCGCGACGTGGAGCGTCACGCCTTGGACCATCGCTGCAGAGTGTAGGTGAGAAAGAATTAAATACAACGGCGGTTAAGGTTTTAATAATAAAGACTTCTATAAAAATGTATGAGATCAGACCATTATCAATTGTAAAGAGGTGCTCTCAAATCATCGAAAAATAAGAAGGTATAAACATACCGGTCGTCCCTCCTCGGCCCATCTCTGTCGTCGCGTCGGGGTGGGTAACGGTCGCGATCGTCACGCCGGGGTCCGTCGCGGTAACGGTCGTCGCGCGGGGGCTCTTTAGACCTCCACGTAGATGAGCGTTCCTATATATTTATAATATTGAAGTAATGGCGTTGTAATAAAGGGGTTTATTTTTAATTTACAAAAACTATATGGATTATTTAATAATACATATGTTTGTGTGTATAGCTTAAATTTGAACATTGAGAATACTCACACCAGAGGCAGGTGGCGGTTCGGCGGGACCTCGACGCCAGCTGCTGCTGTCTCCAGCTGGAGGGCCGCTGGACCGACCGGTGTAGCGTGGTCTACATATGTCATATAGCTTAGTCAAAATATATTATATATTGCTAGCTATTCTTAAGAATATGCTGTAGGTGTTAGCATTTGAGCACACACACCGTTGCTCAGTTGGTGGATCTTCAGCATGGATGAAAAATCTTATCCTAAATTCCTTTCCAAACTATGTTTCAACATTTTGTGTATAGATAAGAATATACCTGTCCCTCTCTGGCTCGCCTCCTCGGTTAGCTGACCTCCAGCCGCCCTCATCCCTGGGCCGTTCCTCCCGTGGTCTGTCTTCCCTGGGTCTTTCATCCCGAGGCCTTTCGTCCCTTGGTCCGCGATCATCACGGGCTCTATCGTCGCGCCTATTATAAAGAAAATTAAACGTTTTGTTTCACTTGGAATTCATCAGGGACTAATATTTATCAATTAATATCACTTAATAAATCTGTACGGGTATTAAATAACACAAGCAACGCTCAATACGTTGTCTGTCGCGTCACACCTACTATATCATTTACCTCTGAGGCCTACCATTCTACAAATATTAAGCAGATGGAAATGGGATTTATTTCAGAGGACAACAGTCAGCCTAAAAAATAAATAAATAAAAAGTGTGACAAAATAAAACCGAAAGTTGATTAATGTATTTCATGTTTTAAACTGACGGATACGGGTCAAGCTAGACCAATCGTCTCAGCTTTGGCTGGTCTCCGAGCGGAAGTCAATATTCAGCCGAAACCGATGAATTGTTTGGTTAGTGTTTACCTGTCGTCTCTTGGTGGCGGGTCGTCTCTGCCTGCAGAACGATCGCCGCGTCTTTCTGGTGAGCGCGGTGGAGCATCGCGGGGACGAGCTACAAATAAAAAATTATATTAAAAATAGCAAATAAGGACGGTTCACGTTACACAATTGAGAGCATTGATATTTTCATAGATTGAAATAAAACACTAACGGTTTGAAACGCGAAATGTATTAATTAAACTTGTAAACAAATTATTTTTAACTACGTTTCCCCGTGGTTATGTTCATGGCTGCTGCAAAGCATCCGAACATCGGGCCGTAAACAAGTTTAACTAATATAATTTGTGCTTAAAATGGTTAAGCGTTTTATTACAATGTGTAATACTCGCGTAAACTAAATAGTATTTTGATAGATATAAATTGGGGACCGGTTCTTGCGTTTTGCACAATCGTTATAGATATATGAAATAAACATATACTCACAAGGTCTCCAAGGCTCCTTCTTCTCGGCAGCTGGTTCGCCGGGCTTCGGGCGACGCCACGTGGATTGTGTGGAGGTCTTTTGTTCTTCCAGCTTGCGCGTAATCTCCTCTTCTTTGGCGCGGGCCTTCGCCTGCACGCGGGCCAACATCTCAGCGTGCTCCCTGAAAGCACAAATATAAAATTTTAAAACTTGTTACTTGTTAATAGTGGCCTGAAGAGGGCGTTCTCAAATTTATAATTAGACCAATAAAGGGACCTAAGATAAATCACTCCTCACCTTTCTTCCCTCTCTTTTTTCTCGCGCAGCGCAGACAGCTCCTCTTGTCGCTTCTTTTCCTTCTCTTCTCGCTCGCGCCGTTCTTCTTCCTCTTTCAAACGACGAGCCTCCTCTGCGGCTGCTTCTTCTACGCGTTTCTTCTCTGCTAACCACTATTGCATACTTTAGTATTAAATACTGATGTATACAAATGCTACCTCAAAAGATTAGTGTCTGATTTTTACATAGATATCCGAAATATCAGAAAATTGTGAACAGCTTTCTTTCAGGCTGCCAATAGAAAACATAATAAGTACAACTTCCAAAGCTTGACATAATGATTAACGTATTAAGCTCTCAATGCCTATTTAAAGAAGGATAAGGCAGTCAATAGTACCTCCTGACGCCTGGCCTCAACACGTTGCTTGCGTCTCTTCTCGAGGCGGACCTCCCTTTGCGCGGTGAGTTGCGCCTGGAACTGCGCCAGCCGGTTCGTGTGCGCGGCGCCTCGCTCGCTGCGCAGGCGAGACATGAATTCGTCGCGGTGCACGTGCATGCGGCCCATGCGCGCTTGCGTGGCCACGTCGCGGGAGCGGGCCTCTGTTGAAAGAAAGAAAGGTTTGTTTATAAAGTGTTGTATTTTTGCCAAAAACAAAGTGTTTACTAAAGTCTTTTCCCCTGAATAAGTTAATAAAGCGATGTCACTTTTCTCCAATCTCCAACAAAGAAAAGACAAAATGTCCCATTGTCTTATTTTTTTATTATAGCTAATGGATATTAAGCCAATAGTTAAACATCTGCGGCGCTTTTGAGGTGGTAGTGAGCTTTTTAAGTAACATACATCCATATATTCAGTTATTTTTAGTCTATAATTCTTACCAATAAGTTGTTGTATTCTCTCTTTTTCCTGTTGTTCCCAGAATGCCTTGTCTTGAACCTGTTTCTCTTCAAGGCTCTTCTGGAGGAGCGGGATCTCTTCCAAACGCTTAGCACGTTCAAAGTAATCCACCTGAAATAATATTTCTATAGTAGTTGTATGGTGTATAATATATACTTTATACTAAACTATATTAGAGAAACTATCAAAGGTTTGGTGAGCAAATATTTTAAAGTATTCATACATGTGAAAGTTGGTGCAAATGTACGCAATGATAACGTCCGTACGTAAGATACGTGCGAGTCATGTTTACCTTCTTCTCTTGCGACTTGAGCCTCGCCTGCAGTTCGCGTCGCTCCTTCATCAACTCTTCTGCTTCGCGCTGGGCGATTGCTTCGGCGTCCATTTTCTTTAAATCCTGCGATAAATTACAATTTACTAAGCTGATTATTGACTCATGTTTGACAACCAATATTTCAAGTATCTCTATTATCTACGTATAAAAAGCCAATATCTATCTAGATGTACAGTCACTATCATTTTTTTTCTCTGAAAATATGGCATTGATATTAAACATAAGCTCGTGTAAAATAAAAAACCGTTTTTATATCATGGTCATAATCGTTGATAACATAAGCTCATTGCTATAAGTGTCTACTGCTCCATAATAGTTTCATAAACTACATACCTCTTCGTCCAACTTCTGCAACACCTTCTTGCCGTGCATAGTCTGCGATATGTGAGCGATGCGCTCGCGCAAGTGTCGTTCGCGCATGGCAGCCAATTCCGACGCGTGTCGCTTGCGTTCGCGCTCCTCCCGCTCTTGCTCCAAGCGTTTCGCTTCAGCTGCGGCCGCAGCGCGCAACTGCTCCTCTTGACGGCTATAAAAGAATAATAAAATGAAGTTTTGTCTTATGCTGTTATTTTTAGGCAACTACTTCTGTTTTGTATCATTTAGTTCGTTTCATCGTATTCTTACCGCAACTCCTCCTCCTCCCGCACCGTGTTCAGCCGTTCGATATACTCTTTGCGTTCCTCGATGATCTTGTGGCGCTGCAGTACGCGGTGGTGCTCTGCGTGCTTGTTCTCGTGGTAGTGCTGCACCATGTGGAGCCGGGCACGCTCTCGTTCCGCACGACGCCGCTGCGGGTACAGCGCTTGGACCGCGCGCGTGAGCACTTCGGCTGCGCGGACCAGTTGCTCGCGAACCTATACCGTTACATATTTTTCCTTAGATTTGCGGGAAATACTATCCATGGGTAAGTATGTGAATAAAATGCCTGTACTGGCAAAAAGTTAACTAAACATGTTGTTTACTTTTCGACAAAGCTTTGTACCTCAATAAAAAAGTTTTTAATTATTATTGTTTAGTCAAACTAAAGAATACGCAATATATTTAAAAATTTTAATATATTTTATCGTGCTGGACTAACCTGTTCAGCGGGCGTAGCTTGCAGTATGGCTCCACCGCAGGCCTCATCAGCAGCAGAACACCATTCGCCACCTCCAGCTTCAACACCGAAGTGTACGCACCTATGAACAAATTATTTGACATTAAAAAAGTAAAAAATGTATTCACTAAACAGCCTTAATACGATGAACACAATAACTCACTTATTGGCATGATCAACTCGAATCTGCATATCATTGTGCCTCACACAGTCCACCAAGAGACGCTCAATATGGAACAGGTTGTCAGTCCCGGCCAACTCTAGGAGGCGCGAGAACTCAATGCAGTCGTAGCACTGGGCCAGTTGACGGATTAGACGGACGAGGGCGACGTCCGTTACGGCTACAGTATACTGAGCCAGGGAAGAGTCTGAAAAAATAGTAAAATAAAAACAATATTATCCTAGAGAATTTCACATTTTGTATAACCTTGCGAATATGTAGATTAATAAAGAATGAAAATTCACATTATGGGAATTATACAAATGGGAAAGATTCCATTGTGATGGTCGTGAAAACGATTTTTTGTTACAAAAAACTAAAGTTTAAGTTGTTATATTAAATTAATATTTTCAGTAGACTTAGTGTTTGTTTGTGACAATTTTTATTAATATTTGCACCACGTGCATAACAATACCAAATAGGTTAAGAACAATACAAAAGTAAAAAATATTTAAAATACCTTTATACAAGTTCATCTAATACTCACTAGGGTCCTCCTGTAAAGCCTTTACGACTCCTTGCACGTTGTGGCAGATGGTGAGTGGATTAAACTCGACTTCTAACCAGGCGTACAACTGCTGGAGTTGAGGCGACGCCAGCGCCACCACGTTCAAGCGGACAACATCTGCAAACAACAAATACAAGGTTAGTAACGATTTGATGAGCATCGTGTAAAACTGCGTAATTTGATCTTCGTTGACATTTCTTAAGCTGGATAGTTACGACATTAAGCAAAATTATTTAACTGATTATTTATTCAAAAAAATTGGCTTGTGCAGGTATTAAATAACACAAACAACGCATAATACGCTGTCTGTCGCGTCACACCTACAATATTCTCTACCTCTGAGGCCTACCATTCCACACCTATTAAGCAGATGGAAATGGGATTTATTTCAGAGGACTACAAACATATGTTTATGATTAAGGTTGGGATGTTTAGGAAATCATTTTTATCGCTGACGATACTCGCAGCATATCTTGTTCCCTTTAAATCTGTTATGAGTTTCTACAACAAACATATCACAGTCTCCCGTGACGACGGCTGCGCAAAAATCCAAATCGGGCATATTAAAAAGTTATTCTCAAACAAGTTTAACTAAAATATATCGCGTCTTAAACCGTTAAAGTGTTTTCTATAAAGACAACAAGCGTGTTTTAGTGTCTTGTCAAATTGTTATTTTTTATCATTTGGAACATTTGGAAATCTTTGCGATGCGAAATATATTTTTTTATCGTTTTACCATCCCATCACTAAAGACATGGAATTACGTTATTGAATTGAAGTCTAACATATTTGTTTACCTTTTAGCAGACTTGCTCTAGTCGGTGGTTGAGCAAGACCAAGCAGGACGGCCAAGCGCTGAGCCTTCTCAACGGGACTCTTGTCCGTTTCTACGAAGCGGTCGAATTCGGGATGTAGAGACGGTAGCGGCACAGACAGTACGGCTACTAATACACGACACGCCATTCTAAAGAAAAAAAAAGAGTTGTATACTACAAAGTAACGAGTCAGTGAAAGAGCGGGAGTTTTTGGCAATCCAATATGTAACAAACGACTGCCCCATAGCGACGATACAGTATTCTATATGACATAAAAACATTTGTTTTCGTTTTGGGTACTAAAAGAAAAACTTACTTTTGCAATTCCTCCTGCGTAATATTCTTCTTCATTTCCCTGGACAGTTGGAACAACTTGAGCAACGCGGCTGCGTGGAACAAACAGTGACCAGCTTTCCAAAAGACCAGTGCCAGTTTACCATAATAGTTGGCCATTGTTTTGGCCACAGGCGTCTTCTTAGACATGTTCATCAGGTTGTGGATATCCTCAATTGCTTTGTAGGCTTCCTAAACAAGTTATCCCATTTCGTAAATTATACAGTAATTTTATCAATCAAATATTAAAGGTGAACTGAATTGCTTCAATAACAAAGTACATGAAATGTTAAACTAAATGTACTAACTACTTATCTTATACTATCATTTTTTTCCCTTACTTATTTTTTAAATTTTAGTAGTAATGCACTTCTTTTTAGAATATGTATAATAAATAGTTATCATGTGAAGTGTTTAATTTTTTGTTTAAAAGATTTAAGCACCTGCCACAACTCCATCTGAATAGCACTGTCCAGTTGGAATAGACGAGTCTCAAGATTCAACTGCTGTGTTTCTGGTTTGGAAATACTGACATTGCCAGTTTGTACCTGGAAGATATAATATGGAAGAAAATTTTATAAATTTGGACTTATTTTGGAGCCAGCAAATTTACATATACAAAAAAAGGAACTGTATAAATTGGCTATGATTGAGATATAATAAATATCCTGTTTAGGTATTAAATAACACAAACAGTGCATTGTACACTGTCTGTCGCGTCACACCTATAATATTCTCTACCTCTGAGGCCTACCATTCCACAACTATTTACGAGTTAGAAATGGGATTTATTTCAGAGGCCATAATATGATAGATTATTTAAGGCATACTTTATTCGATATTGACTGTCTCTTTTCATTTGCAATAGTTTTAAGTTTTAACATAAAAACCTAATTAAAAGGTAAAAAATTCATGTAGATATGAAAACTAAAACAAAAGAAAGTAATTAAACAATTTACTTACATTGGGCTTGCAAATATCCTCAAGATGTTTACGGAGCTTATCACAGAGTTTTCTGAACTCTGTTTTCCGAGAATACTTCAAACAGAACTGGAATGCCATACGAGCAATGTCATGGTACAATGTCTCTACATGAGCATTGGTACGAAGCAACTCTAGGCATTGGCAATAGGATTCCCAGAGGAATTTTACCTAAGAAACATTACATTAACAATTATTATTTGGCATGATATTTTAATCTTAATATGTTCTATAAAACTAATGTAAACATTGTTCCACTGGCAAACATATCATTATTATATTCCACTTTAAAGAATTTTGAATAAGATTTTTGGTTAAGTGGTCTATTTTTAATAGACCACTTAGGCTACCTTAGAAAAATATGATATGATAAAAGTAGGATTCAAACCTAGTTTAATATTATTAGCACATAAACATATAGTGCCAAAAAGGAAGACAAGACAAACAATGATAAAATTAACTCACCCATGGAGTAAGAATAGTTCTATCTGATCTATCCTGTGCATCTTCACCTGAAACAGCACTCAGAAGAATGCTTTCTGGGGTGGCCAAATTATCCAAATCATCAGTTTCAATGACTGCTTGAGTGGATTGCTCCCTAGCAGCTTCTGTACGTTCCTCAGCCATTCGTAAGTATCCTCTGGCAAAAGAATTGAAAAATACTTACATTAACATTTTTTAAGGGTAGGAGTAAATTAAACATTAGACTAAGCAATATTACTTATAAAATAGACACACCAAATTAAATAATTTGGTATATATCTATTTTGTAAGTATTTTTGTAAGTTTTAATAATATCTATTTACACTCTGCACAATAACAAGCTATGAACATTATTAATAAATATTGTAATATATATGAAAACTCATATTTAAAACACTAATAAAATCAGGACACTATAAACAATATCTTTTTGTGAGCCCTATGACAAGAGACAATATCTTGAGTGTTCCAAACAATTATGTTTTGTTGCAGAGTACAAAGAGATATTTATTTTTTAAATTTTTAGAGTTCATTAAGAAATAAGAAGACAAACATTACTATAAGCAATTTTTCAAGGCAGCTAAAATAAATAAATTGTATAAATGCAATAGTATAAAGGGAGAGATTATACATTTGAATGTAATAGCTTAATATGATTGATATACAAAAGTAACAGATATATTGTCTTCTTTATTTCCCAGTAAAAAAAGAAAGAGGACATTTATGTATATTCAGATTGATAAGTGATCAAAACAAAAGTTGCAAATAGTATGTTTAAAACATAACTCAATACCTCTCTTGCATATGGTTCTGTAAGTTTTAAATGTACTGACCTGATAACCTGTTCCAAAGATCCTACATTTACTGACTGAAACATATTTCGGTACTGAAATAGACCTTCCTTAGCAATGTGTGACTTTCGAAGATCGACACATAGTTCTAGATATTTGAACATGATCGGCTCCAACACCGATTCGGACCAGTTGTACGCCCATTTCTTGTTCCTAAAGACTTCTTGTAACGTGTCTAAGGCTCTTGCGGGTTTCTCCAAATCCATAAACTCTGAAAATTGTCATGTATTGCTAGCTAGCCAGTATCTTAGGTTATCATGATTATGTTGATCTGAGAACGACGACATCATTTCTATACGATATGTTTCGGGAACAAAATTATATTTTTACCAAAATATCATTGATAAAGTATAGGGAATGTCCAAAGTTACGAAACCAAAGTCATTATAAATTCCTGCAACGTGGTGAGATAACGTAAAACATATACATACCATTGGCCCGTTTGAGGGCATTTTCCGGCCTCTGACCATATCTTGCCATGATTGCTTCGTAATAATCACTTCATTAAAACAATTTTATCACGGATAATATAAATTATAAAGGAATACCCAAAAATATTCCTCTTACCACCGGCCCACTGTCAAGCGGTAGTAAGTAAAATGGCGGATGACTACAATATTTTTTTTTTCTCCTTGAAATCAAGAATCGTTGACGAAGCAACATAGGGATGTGTACACATAGACAACAGTATTGAACTTTTATTCAACACTATAAGGTAAATATTAAAACCTTAAAGATCAAAAATGTTTGATAAATATAATAAATGCATGATAAAATATATATTTATCTGGAAGTTTGTATTTTCCCAAAACAATAGGACTTAACACAATTTATAGAACAAAGCTAAAGGACTAGTACCAATAAAATAATATTAACATAACACAGCTTATACACGAGGGCCTGTCGAGTAACTGTCAATGTCAATTATTATCATGTACATCGTCATAGTCCAACTCAAAAAAAGTTAAACAGCTGATTTAAATTTTCTTGAACATTTGTTTTGATTGTTAAATGTCTTAAAACTGTGAAGTTCTTTAATTTCTTTGAGTAAAAAGAATTGTATTATATTAAAACTGTTAGGCGTATAATGATGTTTCTATAATGATAATGCAGATTGTAACTAAAGTTCGCCTCTTTAACAGTCCTTTTACAGTTTGTTACATTAATGAAGATCATATTTCACTGCCTAAGGAACACGCAAATACAATTGGAATAGCAAAAGCAAAGTATAATACGATTCCTGATGGAGACCATAACAACAAAGAGGATAAAAGAAGTGAATACCGCCGAGCATTTCAGATTAAGACAACAGCATTACTTTTACAACCTCTTTTAAAAGCGTGCTATAATTCTCATATGTTTAGGAGAAATATAATAAGAAATTTAGTTCAACTAAGTGGTAATGAAAGTGAAACGATTTTATTAAAGCTAAAACTGGAACCACCAGACAAGGAACTTATTGACTATGCTTGGTATGTTTTTGCTTCTTACAATAAGTAACTACATACTGAAATCCATGATGTAGTAGGGATGTTTTTTAAAGCATAATTTTACCATTGCCTGTAAATAATCACAAAACGAGATCATCAGTACTTCTGACCACTTAAAGTCAAAAAACATGTATTTGGGTGATATAAAAACAAACACTTAAATGCCAATGATACCTATGGAACTAGGTTCACATATGTATATAATAAATACCCCAACCTTTTCAGGAATGAAAGAATTTTGTATTTAGTTATGAGTAGAGCAGAAATTGAGAATGCTTTTGCTTGGCTATCTACATTAGGAGGAGCCTACTCAGCCCTCGGTGATTACTTTGAACATTGTGTAAGTACAATAATATCAATCCAACCTTATTAATAGAATTTTTATTATACAAAAATCTACATATAATATACTTCCACAACACACGCACACTCATTATAATTTGTTATGTCACTGTAAAAAAATTTTATGGTGAAACCTTATGAAGACACAAACTCTTAGGAAATCAGTCACGAAAACATTTAAAGGCAGAGGTGGAGTATTTTTATTATGTGTAACACTTTGTTGACTTGATGGATTTTCAGGCTGAAAAGGCAGGCAGAATATCAGTGAGACAATATAAACTATCCAGAATGCTAGGAGATGACAGTCTTGCTGCCCGAAGCAAGCTTTATTCAGCACTAGCAATCTCACAGAAAGGAAACTTGAAGTTGGCCCGAGGAATTGTTAAAGAAGTTGCAGCTTTTGCCAGATCAACCTACGACAAGAGACTAAACAGAATGTGTCAGGGTGTCTGGGCGAAATTGAAGTATCTTCGGCAGTTTCATAGTAATATTAACGGCCGTATTGTTAGGGTGCAGGTGTAAATAAATAGTTTACAGTTTGTTATAAAGGGTTTTAATTTTTTTCAAAAATATATATTTCCCATACATTGACTAAATGTAAATACAGACATTATTTAAGGGGTTAAGGTTACAGAACAAAAGGGCAGGCTTCAAACCCAAGTCTGGCAACATACAACCAACGACTTAGTGGTTATAGGCTACTGGTATGGCTAAGAAGCCAATACGGTGAAATTGTTTAGTTCTTTCTTTAGTTCAAGATGAATTAGTTAACGTTTAAATTATTTATTTTAACTAACATTGCAGGTAGGTATGTACGAAGTATCACGTCCAAGCGTATCTCGAACGTGAGTTTTATCTTAAAATGTAGGAAGTACGGGTGTTAAGGAAAACGATAACGTCGTTCCTGTATGTTACATTGTAACAAGTACCATTTTTAAATCTATGTAAAAGTATCCCTTTATCTAGCGACTTGCATATTTCAATATCCATTTTACGTATCTGCGTAGATAAGTAAAGCAAACAGGCTTTAAGTTGTTTGTTTTTACAGACGTTACGGGCGGAGAAGGACCTTTGTCCTATTTACTATTCCTTTACGTTTAACCGGGAACCGAACGCATAACGCAATGGCAAGGAAGTAATAGTAAGAAGAAGAAGAACCAAGCTCTATAAAAGTGTTTTTGACACTCAATTTACTTTCCCTTTATGGCACCGCTTTCCAAATGCAGATATGATCAAAACAATAATGTAGATCATCGGCAGCATTGTAACCGAGATTGCTAAGGTGCTAAAATCGCAATAATCACCCTTTGGGTGTTAATCTGTACGAAAATCATTGAATGACCCGGAAATGATAGTGTTTGAAGGTAGGAGTGATCTAAGCGTTGCTGCATATTAAAAGTTCGACTTTATTTCGGAAAAGACCTACAACGCTTTGCGTTCATCGTTTAATGTACCTAACGTTTCAAATATGAACCATTTTTTTTGTCTGGTAGGATCTTCTTACTTGTTTGTATTGATTGAACCATGAAATACAGGAATTTCATAAGTTGTACTTTTCATAAATGTAGGACAGGGAATTCCCCTACTAGAGGCATGCAAAACAACTAATTGTTTACAGATTCTCGTCAATAAGCCCTTATACCAAAAATTCTTAGAATACACTGATTGATTGGATCTCATTTTATACATGCCTAACTAACTAGCCGATCTGGGGTTGTTTTGCCATATGAAGTATAAAAAAAAATTGATTACCACATAAAACGCTTCTTAGGAGTTTATTTTAAAAGATAGAGCACAACGGTCGCGGACTTTTTTTATGAGTTTTTAAAGAAGAATAATATTTTGAAACCGTTTTTTCGCCATTTTCCTCTGTTTCTTTGCTCGCGATCCAGCAAAAAACGTAGGAGTGAAACGGAGCCTAATGTGTTCCTTTATAACTGGTCTATTCAACACAAAAATATACATAACAATTAATGGAACTAGAAATTAATTAGATTAGTGCGTTCAAACAAACACACAAACTCTTGAGTTATAACATTATTATAGATCGGAAAGATTTTGAAGGCAGCGTTCGTAAAAATTTTAAAAATAAATAACATATCTTAGACATTATTGGCACTGCATTTGCCTGTAGAAATTACGTAATAACATCATCTCCACTACCAATTTCAGCGTAAAAGAATGTAAACAAACTGAACAATAGAAGAAATATGCTTGTTACAGCAACATCTTCGATCGCGCGTCTTAATCACTTCATTGTTTACACTAAATGTTGATTACAAAAAACGTACATTTATAGCAAGGTATATTTAGCATGACGTTTTGATAAAAACTGGATTAGATTGTAATAGGAATTATTTCTGTGCCTTTTACTGTGAGTTTAAATAAAGGTACACAATGTCACTTAGCCACCTGTCCAATGACTACAATTCAAGGACAACCGGTGCACATCCCTTGCCACTGAAACAAAACTACCTAGATTCTACTAACACTTATTGTATATTTTATATATAGGTACATATTGCCTTGTTTTACTCATAATTACTTAAACGTTTTTGTATGATCTTCTGTCTATTTACTCGTAGTATATATCAACACAGGCTATAATTTTCGGTACCCAATATGTAAGGCCGTAGTCCAATTTGAAAAAGTAGTGAAAGTAGACCTGCTAGGTAACCGAGTCAATGCTTTATATTCACCATAACATAACAACCTCGTGAATAATGTTAAAATCCACGAAAGCTAATATCTAAAACTTTTAAATTGCTAACCTCTTGCTCCTTTTGGAAAGCCAGAAGTGAAAGGTCGAAAACTCGTTTGTAAAAACGACACACTGTTTATGTATTGAAAGCAAGTTAAAGGTTCGCATCGCCTTGAAAAGTAAATCGTTCTCGCGTCCTAGATTTTTAATTGTTATTTTATCATTACTTAGTACTCGTGTGTTTACACCGATTTGCGAAGCCCTACAACCTCCATAATGCTATCCGTATCAAAAACGCGGTCGTTTGAGAAAGTGTTTTGGTATTTACATTTTTTCAACAGTAGATTGGTGCCCGTCGACGCGGTAGGACGTGTCTGTGGTAAACGAAACATTGTGATTAATTTGGATACTTGGAACGAAAGTGATCTGTGCCAATTTATATGAGAGCTGTGAGGAAAGCCGAAATATGAACGTAAGTTATTTGGCGCTAACTCGAATTTCAACTTTCAGAAACTGTGAAACAAGATCGTGGCATTGAATTGAGTTTTTCGACTATTTCGTTAATAATTTATTTCACATTTTTGTTCAAGTTTATTCGCGTTATCCATTTCTGGTTATAAGACAATAGAGAAGTATATTTGAAGACGAAATGAAGTTCTAATTAGCTTTCTAGATAGGTTTTTCACAGAACTAAAGAACAAATTCAAATAATCTAACTATCTCGAACCTTCATCTCAAAGAATGTTACACTTACGGAAGTCATTCGAGAATTCCAATTGACAATAAATTTCACCTTGTCACTTCACCATACTATAAAGGAGAGAAATTTACCAAGAACTAGATCTCGTCAGATGTTAACAACCTTAGTGGTATGCTAGCAAAGGAAATATCATGGTTTATTGTTTACTTACAAGGATAAAACTCCCTCTGTCCGATTGCTTATTGTAATTTAGATTGTACCATGTTCTACTAGAACGTTGCTGAAGGTACGTATAACAAGAGCAACCCTTTTAGCTGTTCTTACTTTTGAGATACATTGTCATCAACAAGTATTCATTCACAAAAAGCCATTTTCATGTTATAGTCACTTGAAATCGTCATTATTCATTAAAAAAAAACACATTTTTAATAACTTTATATTTTATTAATTGGCCGTTTTAAACATTTAAAATAAATTTGAGTAGTCTTTTAAAGAAATAGCCTAGTATAATAACTAAGATTATATTATCAAACCATTTGCTTAATTGCGCGGAAACTATAATGTCTGTTAGTAATCATTTTAATGAAAAATAATACGTTAATGTGATGAGTAGAATTTATACTATTTATATAGTTAGAAAGTTGAAAAACGCAGTTACATATTTAAATATAACAGAGCGACTGGTTTTTAAAGAAACAGTGTGTTATTCTCGTGTGAAACCTTGTCTGCAGCCATTGTGGCGTAGAGACAATGGCAAAGAAAGCGTTGACAAATGCGGTACTCAAACCTGAGACTTAGGTTGCATCAGCGCACGAATATCTGAATTTTAACAATACCTAAGTAAATTGCTGCAACAAAATAACTACCTTACTTATGTATGGATTGAAAAAAATATATTTAATACTTATACTTCAGTGACTGCTTGCTGAGTTTGATACACGTCTAATAAAATAAGTTAATGTAATCGATCATTAATACCGGATAGCAAATGTTGTGTCTGATAAACAAGAGAGAAGAAAGATCCCATATCCAAAGTAATCTTTTATTCGTATTATTAAATTGTATTTATTATTAGTAGTCTTAGTTTGGTTAATGATAATAATTAGGTATTACTATCAACAATATTGCATATCGTGCAACTTTAAATTGCCATCTATAAAAACATTATTTTCAACAACAACTACGCGTGAGAGAAATCTTAAAATAAGGTTATATATGTATTTATTTTAGTATCTATACCAGATTTAGAGATTTTGTTTATTTTCTTAAGATTATCATGCGTCAATTGGAATTAATAAGAATATTAAATGATATGTATAAATAACCTACTTATTGATATGTAATACTAATTATTTTGTTATAAAACATCCGCGTCTAATTTTTAATATTATTATTGTATAAATTAAGGAGATAAAATTAATATTATACGACACATAGACTATATTTAATCATCCCAATATTTAAAAATAATTCAGGCAGAAACTGAAACATGATTGTGTACAAAAATGGTGAAGCCCACTTGTGTACTACTTAACTTCTAATTATCGAATCGAAAAGTTATCTGTGCGAGGCGCACGCGCAATTAATCTCAGACCAAATTGAGTTGTGTGATAAAAACGCCATGGCTACTGCCCATTGTTAAGTGATTATATAATTCCTAAATCCAGGTAATAATGTTGGCAAAAACAGGCGAGGTTGAATTTTAATGACATTTATCATAAGCGCGTATTAATTTAATGATAATTATCACACGATCATAGAAATATCTTAATTTTGTTGTATAATTATTTCCTTATTGAAACTATTTGTCTTGTTTTTGGCTTATTAGTAATTATTTCAAGCCAGTAGCACTTCAGAAACAACTTTAATTAATAAATTTGATGTAACCGGATGATCGTGGAAATTTCTTGATACTGAGTAATAATAATTTCACTTTACTTTACATAGCAAAAGCAAAATAAATTAAGAAAATAAAACGCATTTAATTTGAAAAGTACTGCGACTTTTTAATTTATTATAGGTACCTATACGTAGGTACCTATAGGCAGGTACTTATATGATGGAAAGGACTAACTGCTAAAACATTTATTTATTTCATTATGAACATATTCTACCATTACAGAAAAATTCCATTCCGATAGACTTATTATATGCATATTTCATAGAGTGATGTTTTTGTCAATTCACCCAAGCTGCACGTAAAAATGTCGACGAATGTAGATGTAAAAACATATTATAATAATCGTAATAACTTTTTCTATACATTGTTTATGCTAATTTCTAAAACTACTTATTCGCTTTAAGGCAAGTTTATTACTTATTATTTTACTGTCAGTTACTGATTGACATTCGACAATATTTTGGATTAATATTTAGTATACTATTTGAACGCATATAAAATTAGTTCCTTTCTATCTTTCGTTATCCTAAAGTAGGCCAGAGATTTCCTCTCTCATTGAGACGGTAGAAGAAGGTAGCCTCCACAGTGCTTCAGTCAACTAGCTTTTTAGTGGTGATAAGCAGGACTGCCAGTATCTCTTTGAGTCACAGCGGTGATCACATCCTTTCATCAAAACTTCGCGATAGTACTAGAAATGGTATTGGAAAAAAAACAAACACCGAACAATATAATAACAAAATATCATCCATCTTCAGGCCCCGTGACTATGCTACTGCAAAGCATCTAAAACGTCAAGCCGTAGTTTAAATAAATTAAAAATACCTTGACTTATATATCGCTTTTAATCATTAGAATGTCATTTAACAGCGTTCTACTCGCGTTAGCTTTAACAATAAATTACATATTATGTTAAACACAATTCCCTGAATTGTAATTACCTTCCTTATTATATATTGTGCATTAGGTAAGGTAACGATGTATTTTAATACTTAATTAAGATATTACCTAACTGACGGCTAACCAGTAATTCGAAGAAGGAACTGTGCGGATATAACGAAAAACTCAATCATGAGACGGAAGTATTACTATTAATAATGTTGTTGTACTTGTAACAATTTGTTTTTATTTTATTCATTTATTTCATTACAGCTATTGCTATTTGCCTTAAGACATTACTTGTAGCTAAGAATTTATATCTAAAAACCGCATGCGTCTCCTAACTTTCCCAACCTTGCCAAATTCTGGTGCAGAACAAATCTCCATAAATTAATGCTTCAAATTGCAGATTTTCCAGAAGGGTAGTTTTAAAAATATTATTAAACGGTTACTAAAATATGTTAGCTCAATGGGAATCGATGTCATGGCCCGCATGATTATTATTAGCGTTTTTTTGTAGGAAATCTCAAAAACCATAATTCAAGTCCTTAATTAACGTCAGTATTATTAAGATCGTATAGGGATCTAAATTTCTTCCTTTTTTAATCCTGTTGCAACCGTGTGTTCTCTAATACCCAACCCAACCTTGACCAGAAGTTTTTGTTTTAGGTCACTTGTTGGATACGTAAAGTTACCGTGACGTATTTAATATAGTGTTGAGTCACTTTTCAAATAATTGATATTCGGAAATCGACGAATTCTACGGACTCGAATTAGTGACTCGTGATTCCTCGTTCATGACTAATTGACAACAAATATGCTAGTTGTACTCGTACATACACATGGCATTTGAGTTATATACTAATGAAATTGTTAAAATACAAGATTTTGGTACGGACCCTTAAAATAAATTTACAACAACAATTTAGACGGTTATCAACATCTGTGGTCACGGAGGGTGGTTTTATAAAACTACAACTAGGATCTGTACATCCAAGTTTACTCGGAATACAGGTATACATATAACAAAATACACAAATATTTTTTTTATATGATGTTAGAGGAGGACGGTCAAGCATAGTGTTTACTTGATGGGACGAGACCAGCCCCCAGCCATAGACCATCTTCACAAGATCGACCTTTGGATATTCGGAGCTTCGTTCGCGACTTATCGACAAAATAAGGCGATGCTGGGGTGTTACAATATCAAATTAACCACTGAGCTAATAAGCATACAAAGCTTATTCGTTCTCCTCTATTATAAAATAAATTGTTGCTCCTCCTATAATTTTAAGATAGTACCTCTGCAGTTATATAATATCGGCAAAAACTGAAAGAAAGCTGCAGAATATCGAGACGTCCGTGGAAGTGGATTGTTCACGCTCAATGATTCGTACCGTACACGCAATATCCTCATCAATGTTCATAGTTTACGGGATTCATATCAATTGCGTATTCAAAAGGTTACGAGTGTTTAGACATGCCTAAATATATTATAAGACAACATCGGAAACTTAATAAAAACTTTTACTAGAAAACATTGTAATGAAGGAAATTTTGAAAATATGGTCACGTACATTTGTACATATATATCATGAGTACACCCTTATTCCACGGTTTAGGTTTGATTTCCATCATATTTCAATTCTTTAAAATAATATACCTATGTAATATCTTTGCCATCCTCGTCTTTATATTTCGTTCATTAAAACTGTTTCCGCTCTACGGTCTGACAAAATCATAATCCTTTATTCTCCGCCTTGGCCGGATAAAAACGTGTATTATTCCCAAAGCGATAAATGCAATTTCCTTAGTAAGTGTTCATTACGATTTCTACAGAGCACGCATTGCTTTGCAATTTGTAGACACAAGTAATAACGACAAAATCGACTAATTGCACCGCTAACCGATATTTTAATGACAGGAATTTGTAATTATAACGAGACATTTGAAAACTATTAGTCAATGTAGTAAAAATAAGTTATTCTATATTAAT